CTCTTCCCAGATCCCAGGAGATGATTTTCAGCTGTTGTTGCCTTACTGTGACATCAGATGAACTTTTCTGGCCTGTAATGGAAACCACTCTGAGCCATGTAGGTGTTATGTTTAGGTGTTTATGATTGAGAATTAGGCAGTTTCACTTAGGAGAACTTCATTTTTATATACAAAAAACTGATGAGGAAGAAAAAAACCTCTGATGGTCATGTCTGGAGTCCCAAATTCAACAAAACTGACCTCTTGTCCCTGAGTTGTACAGCAGATGTTTCACTGAGAGATGTCATTGTCATGCTAAAAGGAGCAGCAAAGATAGTTACAGTTCATCAGTCATAAATTTGCCTAATTAGATCTCTGTTTTTTCCCAGAATAGCCATTCTACAATAGTACAGATTTCAGTAAAGGGTATGAGAGAGCAGGAAAGCGTGATGCAGCCCGTGGTAGGCAAGATGGCTATGTATATGCATGTGTGTATTTGCACATACACATTTTACCCCTTAAGACGGCAATTCACATGCAGAGTAGGAATACTCGTCAGTGAAGCTGAAAACATTTCACTGACCTCAGGGTACCCACAAACTGAAAGGGATGTAGGCTTATGCTTTAGGGAATCAAGAAGGACAAAATAACTACCATAGGCCTGTCTTGTGGTGTTTTATCAATGTGCTATTTTTGTAATAGAATCCCAGCTGGAGAATCTTCTCATATCAGGATTAATCTGTGTTAGTGACAGCAAGTTTTAGGATCCTTCTGGACAGACTTAACATTCTCAGTATGTTCAGGCTCTTTTTGCCACATTCTCTTTCCTACTCACTCTTCCTTTTATGTCCCTGTTAGAAAACGGAATCTCCTAGGCTGTCATCCATTCATGTCTTCTTATCATGTCTTTTTGCCTCTGAGAAGCCTAATGTTAGCCTAAAGGAGCTAGCTTTTAGCCAAGTTAGTTGTGCAAAGCCTATTACTTTCTGCTGTGCCTTTGGACCACTGCTTTATCTGGCATCTTCAGACTGCTGATCCCTGCAATCATGCTAGTGAGGTTGATGAGGCCTACTTTTCTGGTGCAACGTTCCATCTAGAAAATCAGCAAAACTGCTTGGAGTAGCAGGTGCTTGTGCCAAGAGGATCTGGAGGAATCATGAAGTTCAAAATTCAATTATTTTGTTGGCAACCTTGGAATGTGTAATTTTGCTTAGTTGTCTTCCTTGGAAACCTGGGAGTTCCCATGTAGCCTTTGCCTTTATAATTTTCTTCAAGTAAACTCTGACACTGAGATACTTTGAGGATAAGATGATATACCCCACTGGAAACAAAACGTGCTACTTTGGGAGATGATACATAAAACGTGAAACGTTTTGAAAAATCTTAGATGTAGAGAAGGTTCTGAATATGTCTCTGATCTACTTTGGGGAAGTTGTGAGGGTGGGAGAACCTGCTCACACTTATTCGTGATGGACAATACTTCAGTGCATAGAAGGGCTAGACCCTGTGAAGAAACATATTCCTGTGGTTTCTGTGAGGCGGCAAGGTTCTGCCAAAATTTCAGTGTTTCCCATGTCTATATTTGACTATTTACCTGCAACTCATGGTTCTGGGTAACGTTCTATGATTCATCCTGTACTCTTGTTCAGGCGAGATTGAAATGGGGGGGAAAGTCAGTGAACTAATGTTGAAATATTCATCCTGACAAGCATTTAACTACGACCAGTGAAAGACTGGGCCTTGGACCAAGATGCTGATGCCAGCTTATTCAAAACTCTAGCTCTGTCAGCATCTGTATTAAAATGTTAGGAGTTGCTTCTCACAATCTGGAAACCCCTGCTCATTAGTACTCAATATTTTGATGCTTTGCTTTATTGTTCTGACATCTCAAGAGCACATTTTCTTGAGATAAGAGTGTGAGAGGAAAAAACTGCCCAGAAAACTCCCACAGTTTTGTGCTGGGTTTAGCACATTACTGGAAGACAAATCAAAAAATGTGTGTAAGCACTATGAGGAAAGTTTTTGTTCTGAGGACACATATTTCTGGAAATGCTGTCGGTTTGGGGGTTTGGTTGGTTTTTTTTCCCAAGTTCTGAAAGTCCTGCTTCCCTTTCTAATTTCTCACACCCTGCATTCTGCAAACGCACAGGCATTTCTGCTGCCTTTATTTACAAAAGCCAGTCACAACATATTTGTATCTGTAGACGGTTAGTAAAAGGAAAACGAGTGGGATGAATTTTAGATGGTGGTTTGATTTTAGATTTTTAGAAAAAAGGAAATATCAAATGGTGTGGTGCTAATGAAAGAGATTGATTTGACAGAACTGAAGAATAAAGTCTCTCTTGAGCTGCTGTATAGATACATCCGGACTGTAAAACAGTCACAGTGGCTGTGAAAGTCTCCTTCCACAGTCATGCCAGTGGACCTCAAGCTTGAAATAGAAGGACCACCTCCAAGGGTGAGAGAGGAATTAATTCTTCGTAGCCATTCAGCATTTGGCCTCTCTACTGAGGCTCTCAACAAGAGGGAGCCAATTAATGCAAATTAATTGTGGTAATGGCTTTTGTGATGTGGAACTAGGAACTGGATCAAGACCACCAAATTTATTTCACACGGGACAGTAAACAGCCTTAAAATGGAAAGAGCTTTTCATTCTCTCATGAGCTGGATTAAATCCAGTGACCTGGAGGTGAAAGGTGTTAGAGCCCAATGTCCTGAGCCACATAGTCCTCTTATATTTGTATCAAAATTCTTTAGAAGTATTTTATGAAAGACTAAAAACATCAATTATCTCCATGGCTCTGAGAAGAGGAATGGAAGAAAACTGCTAAATGCAGCAAGTTACAAATAGGGTTTCTTTTCCTTATTTCAGGAACAGTGCTGCTCTCTACAAGGGCTGTGTGTGAGATGGTGCAAGTTGTGTTACAAGACCTAAATACAACACTTCTTTTTTTATTTACAATGGCTGAAATTATCTAATGCCATAAAAGAACACTGTGTACTCTATTTGTATCTGGTTACTCTGTGACATTTTGCTAAAGGAAGTAAAATCTGAACAGATGCAGAGAATCAGGAAAATCTCTCTTGACAGAGTAGGCTAGAATGTGCTTAATTCAGTGAGCCTAAGAAAAAGGGGGCACAGAGGGAATATGTAGGGTCACTGTCTATGAATACACTGATGGGTAAAGACTAGAGAAGGACCATTTAAGCTTATAGATAGGGCTGGCACTGAGCCCATAGAGAGAAACTGGACATGAATGTATTTAGGATGGAAACTAGAAGATGACTTCCGGCCAGAAGAATGTGATTTTCAACAGGACCGATGGTGGCAATGTTCTAACCTGAGTTAAAGAGGCAGCTTAGTACATCTGTGAAAAGACCTGGTTGCCTCTGGCAGGAATATGAGCAATCTGAAGACGGCTTGAAACAACATCTAGAGAAATTTGAAATAACACTGCTCTGTATTGATCCGAAATATCTTCCTAATTCAAGTTGTTAGAAAAGTTTAGAAACTAGTCCTTTCTTCTACAGAAAAAGGATATCTGCTTCCTATTCTTTATCTTATTTATTTGTAGCTGGGAGTCTCTTTTTTTTTTTTTTTTCCATCTAAAATTCTTCTTCTTTTCTCAACTTCATGATAGTAGGTCACAATAGTATATGTAGGTTTAGAGTAATAAAATAAATGTTTACCATTTTGTCCTGATTTTCCCTGAATTCTCTTTCTTAATTAGAGACCGTGACTACCACCTAAAGACCTACAAATCAGTAATCCCTGCAAGTAAACTAGTGGATTGGCTTATTGCACAGGTAAGAAAATTTTAAGATACTGCTGTCTTTGGCAAGTAGTTTAATTTTTCAGTTCCATTTAAAAGTAAATAAAACACATGTATCTAGAGAACATAATTAAACATATTCTGATTCTTTGAACTTAAAATCTTATGCTTTCTGTTATTGTTCATTTGGTGAAAACTTATTATTTGGCAGCATAAAGAGGAAGAAGGTCCTTTGCTAGCCCTAGGAGTGGTGAACTGGCTGTTGTCAGGATCTTTTCTATTTGTTGTGATTTTCTAAAGACATTTAAAGCAATTTAATGATTGCTTTAATTAAAATTAAAGATTAATTAATTAATTAATTAAAAAATTAAAGATCTCATTTAATCTTGTATAGATGTGGTACAATTTTATTGAAAAATTAATCTAGAGTTTTACACCAACAACTACACCATTGTCTTTAGAAATTGTAGTTGCCCCACATTTGCCTTGTAATTACAGAGAAGAGCCTGTAGCTTGGGAAATCAAAAATTTCGCTTTGATAGTCTAAAGCAATCTAAAGGGAGAGTGTGCCATTTGGCTCGCTATCATAGACTCAAATGCACATTCTGGTTTTCTCTTAAATGATGGTCTGATTCACAGTCACATTAAGTCCTATACTGCCAAAATAACGTAAAGGGAGGCTAGTTTGAATGAGAATCAAGCCTCTGACAACCAGGGATGTTGTCCTTCAGAAATGTTTCCTGCAATTGCATTTGACATCCTCCTACATTAATAAGATTGATATGTTTTAAGGTTGTTGTGTGCCAAATAACTGGATGAGAATGGAGTAGTCAATTGTTTTCCTGTTAAGAGCATAGAGGAGAGCAAGGATATTAGTACTGAGGTTGTCATATCAGTTACATGTGATTTAATGGGGTCTTATTCATGGAAAGCTGAGGGGAAAAAAAAAGTCTGCTTTGGCCAAATAAGAGAGTTGTAATCAGGCTAATCCGGCCAATATAATAGTTAATCATAGAGCTGTAGGCAGAAGGACTCAGATAGCAAGGTAAAACATCAGCTCTTGGTCTGGAAAAGGTAACTCATTTCCTTCCCCATTTTTCTTCATTCTGGTAGGTAAATCTGGCTGTTAATTCTCCTGTTTACTGAACTTTACATTAAGATTGAACCAGAATGTACTAAAGCCAGATATGGATATACAGAAGGCTCTGTAATTTATATTGTGTATATGTATGCATACATACATGTATACAGATGCAAAGATGAGGGAAATTTTTTCTGTGCTCAGTTGAAGGGGAACATTGTTAAACATTTAAATCACTGTCTATGACTTAGATGAATTCCTGTCTATGTGGCTAAATCAATCTTTGCTCGTAGATCCTTACAAACAGTCATTTTCATGGGGGTTTGCTTGGAGTTTTCATACTAGATTGAAGTATTTTCTAGCAACCATTCATACTTTGGCCATATTAGCTAACGAGATTTTAGTGGGAGCTAATAAACACTCAGCTTTTTGCAGAGTAGTGCATTTATTTAACTGCTCAAATATCTACCTTTCAGTTTAACTTTAGGCATCTGTTCTTGAAAATATTGGGGGTGGTGTCTGGTCTGATAACTACCTGTTACACAAAAATGCTGGGGTATATTTATTTCTGTTTCTGAGAATAAGTTTGCATCATGACTTTAGTTTAGAACTGGTGCACAAAAAAAAAGTGAGGACTATTGTTTCTGTTATATTTAGTGGCATAGGGATGACTGTCTTGAAGGACAGTCTCTCTCATTTCTGTTTGCAATTTAGACTATAAGTGCCAGTGGGAGCCCTCCCTAATGAGAAAGCTGGTTTTCATTTCCTTGACCTGTACAAATATTCGTAAGACTGAACAGAGCAAAAGAGTAAGAACTTTTTTTATAATCAAACAGCATCAACTGTATTTTGTACCCTGATCCTCCTACCTGGAAATTGTTGGCTATTATAATTCTGACAAGACATAAGTTAGGGCCTCAATGAGGCTTAATCTTGTGTACATTTGAACAGTTGCATTCAAATGTGATATATGTTATTATCTCCTATGTATTGTGTGCACTTAGAGTCTGGGAATGGATGGGCATTAAGAGCTGTATTATTAGATGTGCAGTGCATTTGTGGCTCTGTAGACATCAGGGGTCTGCAGGAGCTGAGCATCTCTGCCTGTCAGGTTTATTGATAAGTGCCCTGTGATATGCTAGCACAGATTACTCACTACGAGGGAGTTTTTGCATGTGAGAGAGAATGGTCAAGGGATTTCCTAATGACTCGGAGATTTAATGCTGACTTTGCTTGGTGTCTTTTTACTGTTTATAGCTCTTCAGAATAGTTGGATCTTACTGCAGTTATCCCCGTAGTATGTCTTAGGCAAATTGTGCATGAGACGCTAAAATAAAACACTAAGTATGATGGTGGAGAGAAGCACATATGAGCGTAAGTGCTGACTGGAGATGGAAGTGTTTATGCCTCTTCTAGAGGCACAAAGTCAAATCCTGGAAAAAGTAATGCTGCATTAGAGTTCTCCATAGGCATTACTTTAGTGACCCTTTGAATGTAACAGAGAAATGGTTTCAGCAGTCAGAGCCTCAAAGGAGAAATATCTGATCTATATCCATGGATTTAGACTGAAAGTGTCTGTGAATTATAGTATGGTCCCTATATATATTTAGGGGTAATCCTTGAAGGGAAGAGGCTCATTCTTTCATTGATTTTGGACCTTTTTAACTTCATTTTACAACTTAATTTTTCTCCCACTGCTGGTAGGCTGAGAACAAAGAGGAACACAGACTTCACTTATAAATGTCAGAGCTCTTGTACTTCACAGAATCTTAGGTGCTACCGAGGGTGCACTAAAAGGCTGCACTGCCACAAAAACAGTACTTTTGTCATCTGGCTGAAGATTTATAACCACACCTCCAGAAATGATCTGTGATAAAACACTACAAGTTGAATCCCCGGTCCTAAGTCTAAGAAACTTAAAATGACAATTTTATGAAAGGTAGAAAGAAAGGGACAAATGCAAAGTAGAAACCTGCTGGTAAGATTCTTTAGCTCTTTTGCTCCAGTGGCTCTCTTATCTCTTTCCATCCATCCATCCATCCATCCCCTCTTTCTGTTGCAGTATATATTGCACCTCTGTGCATTGCATTACCTTAGACTTCTTTCTCACTTGGAAGGAGCACTTCATAATCTTAAAACTTTCCTTTTCCATGATGTCAGCAAAATATTTAAAAGTGGTTTAGTTGCTGTTCTTAAATTATCTGTGTTCATCTGCTTTCTTTTCTCCTACCTGTGGGTTGTAAACAATCTAGGTCAGAAACTATCTTAATTGCTGGGCTTACGTATCTCAAAGCAATCAGCCATGGACCATGATTAGGGCTTTAGGCATCACATCGTTACCAGAACTAGACAACAATAATAATAATAATAGTAACGGTGGCAGTAATAACAATAGTGTGCTCTGGACATGATTCTTCACTGTGGTACTGACTGTAAACTGTTTCTATAATTCTGCTGACTCAAATTCAGTGATTGTCTTCGAATAAACCTAAATTATCTTGTCAAAACTAGTGTATCTAGTTTCACATGCAATTTCTGTATGAAAAAATTATGAGACACATTCTGTCAAGATTGTTGATTGTAAGTGGTTCTTTTTTCTTAAGATTTTTGTTACTGCTTTCATTGTATTTGGACAAATTGCTACATAACATTTGGAAGTACTTACAGGTGAACTGAAATGTTCTACTTTAAGTTCTATTTTATAATTAGAGAATGTTGTTTTGCTAGGGGAATGTTTTGAGGCCAAGTTAACATCATCAGGAGTAGCCAAGTCTGGTTTAGAGCCTTCCTACACAAAGATTTTGTTGCCTAAAACAAAAGTAGATTACTTAAAGGTTAAAAGAGTAACATTAGAAGGCATTTCTCCTCCAGTTTATTTACAATTGAAAGAATAAATTAGATTTTTAAGTCCCAGCCTCTGTAAAATAAACTACCCGTTTATCCCATAAAGTAACACAAAGTGAGTGTTGAGAATTGGTGAGTGTTGAGAATTGTCTGATGACGGGATGTTGAAAATGAGGAAAGACTTACGAAGGCTTCAAATTAGTTTATAGTAAAAGTTAAACTTCAGGTTTATTAAAGCCCTTTTCTTGGCTTTCCTTGTGTGATTACATAATCATGCAGTTCCTCCAGAACTGCCTTGGTCTTTTTCCTACCAAGGCAACAGTATTTAGTTCTTAATTTGTAAATGTCATGCCTTTTTTTTTCCTCTCAGAAAGGCTCTTCAAGAGCCAGTAGTGCTGCTGATTGGCAAGAGCTGATCCTGTTTTATCCTGTATTTAAAAAGTATCTTTACACCATAGCAATGTTCTTTGCCAGTATTTGCCTGGCAAATCGCTACTGCTCTTCTTAGTAGGACTTGAGGTAGGACTGATGTTCTGCTGACAAGATCAGAGGGCTCTTGGTCTGCAAGCTGGTTTGCTTTTAACAAAGTCAGTACGCTACTCTGCTGCTGCTGCTAGAGCTTCAGAATATCTAGTTCTCCAGATGAAGGGGAAACAAGAAGGTGTAATACTTGGGCAGGACACAGCTTCTAACTTAGCAGGACTGAAAGTAATATGCTGAAGTTGCTCCTCTGCCAAAGCAGCAGGTCCCCTACCCGCTGGAATGAGCTGACCAACTGCTCTTAGTGAGATAGCAGATCCCAGGTTCTCTTGTGCCTGTCTGGGGACTGGGAAGCAGGTAATCTTGCATCAAGTGACCAGTGTTAACAATGTTCTTCATCTGATGTTTACCAGCGCTATTTAGAACTCGTATGTCTGCCTAAAAGGTACAACCAGCATGTTTGTAAAGTCTTCCCTTGTGGCTGCAAATTAGCAGATATGTAGAGAAAACTAGGCATTTCTTGTATTTAACTGAATTGTAGATGCAGAACTTATTGCTGCCATTTCAGGTACATTTGTAAATTTGCAAGTCATGTTTGGAACCTATTTTGAAATACTACACTCAGGGCTTCAGGTTGTGAGAAACTGAAGCCTTTGTTAGTAGGTCTGCTGCGTAAGAAAAGAATGCCACTGCAGTTTTAACCAGTCTGACCTTTGGAGTTCACATAGACTGGATTTACTCACATTTTTCTCCCTTAGGTTGAATATAGATAAGATCTCTCAGCTTCTCACTAAGAATGAGTTTTATTGTCTGTGGCTAATGGGTCCTGAAGTCTGACACTATGACTGCAAATAAGAAGTCGTTACATTGAGATAACATTATGTCGCTTTGTGGGTTAAACAGCTACTTTCCAGAATCCTGGTCTTTGTCCTCCTAGTTCCTGTAGGAGGCAAGAGATGCTATATATAGGAATGAATGGGATTTGGGCAACGGGGTAGCTATTTTAATTTCTTGCTATTGTTCCCTACAAAGAGCATCCTGCTAATTTCAGAGCCACAAGCTATGCGGTGGGGAAGGGGAATAATTTAGCTTAGGAAGTTGTCTGAGATGTAATATTTATCCTCTTGTTTCTAGGGAGACTGTCAAACTCGGGAGGAAGCTGTCGCACTGGGTGTTGGACTCTGCAATAATGGCTTCATGCATCATGGTAATGCATCGATATTACTTCCCACAGCCAATTAAAGGAGCTCTTACTTCAGTCAGATTAGCTGACTGTATGAAAATCCCTTTTTCTATAGGCTGTGCCATACACGCTGACATGTATACAATTGCAGGCATCCCAGCAGGTCCTTCTAAAAAGCAGTCTTCCAGCTTACACAAAATGTCTAAGCCTGGTACCTTCCCAAGTGAATCCCCTTGCTAATAGTGACAATGAGCCCTACAGCAATGAGACAAGCTAGAAGGGGAGCGTTTTTTCACTGCATCTCTTACAGTGCCATCAGACCAATGCACAAGCCAAGTACTGTCCTGAAATATCACCAAGAAGTGTCAGGTACAATGTAAAATTGCCTAGTTCTTGCCACTTGGACAACAAGTACAATCCTCAGTGCTGAATCTCTGAAGCTTCCAAACCTGACGTGCCAAATTGCCACGTTGCAATTGCAGTTTTAGTCATAAATAACAATTGTTTTCCATATTTTGAGTAGGGTTTTTGAGAGCAGATTATTGTAAATAAATAATAGAGAATTTGCATAGTACTTGGTAAGAACGTAAGAATAATTGTTTTTCTTTAAAGAATTTGATCTGTTTAGAGCCCATGTGAACTTTTGGCATTCATAGCATCCTTTGGCAAGGAGTTCCTTTGCAAAAGTACATGTTGAATGAAGAAGTTGTTCCTTAGGTTTTAAAGTTGTCACTTGCTGCTTTTATTTGAAGCCCCCAAGTCTCGTATTTGAAAATGTGGTGAAGAACTTTGTCACGCCCTCCAGAATTTTATAGATCTCATTTCCCTCTCAATTCCTTTTTAGGTTGAAAAGCCTTAGTCTATTTAGCCATCTCACTTACCTTTGAACAGACATTTTACCCCTCTTTTCTCCTTTTATAGTTTTACTGTATTAATTTTGACATGGGAAAGGAGCATAAGGTATTGAGTAGCATCTTTCTTCCAAGAGGATCTTCTGCATTTTATATGCATTCTACATGCCAGGGGGGTCAAACATCATGTCATGAACTACTATGCACTGTGAAGAAAAGTATGTCCCTAAAATACAGTAGTAGCTTAAAAATACAGAGCTGAATAGCTGGGATAGGGATGCATCTGGTCTTTGTTCTGTAAAGACTGGGGAAATGTTTAGGATTTCCTTTAACTTTCTTTTTTGTTTCTCTCTTTCTTTCTCTGTGTAAATGCATGTATGTATTTCATATATATTGTTTCCAGTCCTGGAGAAAAGTGAATTTAAGGATGAATCCTTATATTTCCGCTTTTATGCTGATGAGGAGATGGAAGGCACCAGTTCCAAGAGCAAACAATTACGTAATGACTTCAAGCTTGTGGAAAACATCCTGGCAAAGAGTCTTCTGGTAAGAAATATGTTAATGTAAACCTTGATGTTTCTGTGAAACTGATATTGTTTTATGCTAGAGGAGAATGAGAAGGAAAATTATAACAGTAGAATTGAAATTGAATAGACTTTTCTTCACTGCATAAATACTAATTCTTGAGCTACTTCACTGTAGCGCTCCAAATCCTGTAGCTCTGGCTTTTCTAGCTGGGCAGACCACGTAGCTTATTCTGTGTAGCAAGGGAAATCTGTAAGTTGCAGGGTCCCTTCTCTAGCCTGTGGCCATCCTGCACTACCTGGGAGCTTTGGATTCACAGCTCACACACGCACGCGTGCACCTAAGTTCCTGCCTATTTCTGATAGGTCTCAAGAACAGAGGAGACTCAGAGATACGACAGTCATCCAGTTCACAGCCCAACCCCTTTCTATTCCCATAAGGCCCTTGAGACAGTCTGGAAGTGAGCTGGGAGCTGGAAATGTTGTTTTAGCAGGCACCATATGTTTCTTGAGTTCACTGAGCAGGCACCACAGTGTTGGTGTGGTGAAGGAGAAAAGTAATGGGCACTGCTATCTTGGGAGAGCTCTGCCATCAAGTTTAAACACAGTTTAAGTTTAAACACAGTTTAAACAGCCTTATATATGAGACAGATTCAGATGCAGGTTAAAAGACTGATAAGAACACAGATATTTCAGGACATCATTGTCTAAGTGATATGAATATGCCCTGCATTACTGGATCAAGTATCAGCTTTACTTTGTTTATGGAAACTGTTTTCCAAAAAATACTGTTCTTTATGTTCATGCTTTTGCAACATTACTGTTATCTCCAGATTCCCACCTCACTAAATGCCATCACATTCCTTACTGCACTGGGATTATTCTAACGCTGTTTGGACTTGGTAGTTGGACTGGTGCAAACTCTTTGTTCTGAGATCCTTGTTTGCTGCCAGTGGCTCCAGGCCCATCCTTTTCTCCCTTTGACCACTGGCAGAGTGCAGGAGCAGGATAAAAACTTGGGTCAGAAACTATAAAAGCAGAATTGCTGGAAAAGATCCAGAGGTCCATTATATGGGAAAATTTTTCCTGTGGTTCACACAAACTTAACTGTCTCGCTGTTGTCTTGTCTCCCAGGAGACCAATCTGTGTTTGTCTGAATGGCCAGAAGTAATATTTAAAGCACCATGGTCCCTCAGAATTATTCCTCTATGCTTCCAGTGCCAGAGACTGGAGTGTCAGGTTATGATTATCCTCATGGAGAGTTGTTGGGTAAAGGGAAGCAGTTAAAAGGTGGTACACTTCATGGGTTTTTTTTAATTGTGATTTGCAAGCACTCAGAGATCAGTTTCATCGGAATTGGTGGGAACTGCCATTGTTCAGGTATTTTTAATTTTCCACCTTATCAAGACAAGACAGTTTGAGGAAACAGATTGACTAGTCTGTCTCTTCCACTTTTTTTTCTGTCAGTTCAAGGCACTTCTGTTAAAATGCCAAAACTCACAACGGTAATATGTTAGCTGTGAAAAGAGGGTTTAAGTTCTTTGATTCTGTTTTCTGTTAATGTAATAATCATTTATTAGTATTCACTAAAGAGAACAAACAAGCAAACCTTGCACATGGACTATTTACTAGTGATTAATCATAATCCCTAATTGGTCCTTCCAGTCACTCTATAATTTGGTAACTGAAATGTTTGCAACAGAAATAATTTTAATAGTACTATTACTGTAGTTCTGAAGCGATTCAGTCAGCCTCTGTCAAAATACAGTCCCATCTCAAAAAGTAAACAATCTGAAATGAATAGCACATGCTGAATAAGAAATCTCCTACTTAGAGGGCACAGATTTTTGTCAAATGAGTATTAGTCATGCGAAAGTTATGAGTTGCCCTCATTTTCACAAATAAATTAGTAGTCCCCTGAATGTTTGTAAAGAAGATCCCGCAAATAGCAGTGCAGTAAATGCATTACACTTACCCACAAAAAATTTGTGTCTGACTTCTGTGTTATTCTGTGTTTAGCAATTATGAGCAGCTGGAATCCTGAGGCTTTACTGTCTGTGGAACATCACTACTTGCCTCTTTACACTCGTGATGGGGCATTGATCCTTCCCATCCCCTGATCCCACCATAGGAAGTTTAATGGAATTTCCTCAGCACTGGCTTTTGAAACATGCTTTGCTATGCCATGAACTCCTAGCTGTTTAATGGACAGCTTTCCCCACCCCCTTCATCTAAGTTTGCACTATCACAGGAGAGCTTGCCCTTGAAAACAGAAAACAACAGAAGCTTTGGCAAATATATCATTAGAAATGCCAAGGAAAAAAGTGCTTTTGGTCTGAAAAAATGCACTTAAAACAAAATTTAATACTCGTTTATTTGTGCAATTGTTTCTCATTGACGGACATAAATCTTGAGAAACTGAAAAAATATACAACATTCTTTGCATAGTTGAAGAGAATTTGGATTTTGGATTGACTCCAATCATTGTGACTTGGTTACCGCAGTGTGCTATTAACTTGTGATCAGCACCTCTACTTGTTAGCCAAAGCCAACCACAAGAGAAATTAGAGCCGGTAGCTTGGAGCTGAATGTCAGACAAAGATAGTTGCCTGTAAAGATGGGCCTCCATCGAAGTTGCCTAACAGGTTTAATGCCCACACAATGCTAGATTCCTCAGAAGACTCTAGTGTATCACTTATCTGATCTCAAAAGAAAACTTCTCCAGTGATTTATAAAGATGATGCTTGTGTATGTTGTATGTAGCATTCTCAAAACTGTCATGCTGGATTGGAGATCCGAACTGTAATTCTAAACCTCATCAACTTTCCAGACCTGTGATAGCTCCTACATTCCTCCAGGGTATCCCATATTTCTTATTCTCAGTAATGTGTTGCAGTAATTGCAGGAGAGCGCAGTTGCTGTGTCCCACTGCAGTGCACAGCCAGGGCTGTGGCATGTCCTGGGACTCAGCTCAGGCAGGGGCCTGAGTACTGTAGCATATGCAATGAAAGCCAATGGTTTGAGCACAGCAGTCAGGGCTGCCTGGGTTTTAAAAGTCCACAGGACTTTGCTACTGCTGTGACATCTAGAATCAGCTTTGAAAATGGAAGTGTCCTTATGATTCAGCACTTCAATGCCAAGTTTTTAGATAATAGGTAGTATTATCATGTGAGTTCATGTCTTCTCTGTTTTAAACCAGCTAATCCAATAAACATAGCATTCACCTTAAAATTCTTATAAAACTATAGAACACATTTCTCCTATTCTAACTATGAATAAATAGTAGTAATTTGTATTACTCAAATAAAGCCATACTTGGTCCTTAATAAAAATCTCTTCCATCTTTAATCATTCCAGGAGAATTATTTTTGTGTGTTGTGCTAATATAAAATGACCTAATTCTGCAAAATTTCATCAGAGAGAGAGCAAAATAGAGATTTCCCTTTGTTCTTCATTACACTAGTGTACCACAGTCTGTTGTAGCTTGAGAATTCAAATCATTGATTTAAAACACCCCTGGGAAGAGAGCCACTAATAAGAGCCCATCCTCTAGAGATTTCTGATCTCCCAAGGAGACAGGCTGGCAAGTCAGTCACAAGAGGCATCCATCATCCAGGTGTAGGTGGCCAAATAAGGGCCTTGAGTGGATTTGGATACTGAAAATTACAGTGAACTTGGAAGTGAAAACATCCTGTAGGCTGTAAATCTTTCACTGTTCAGAATAAACAGTTCGATTTCAGTGCTCAATTTCAGAGCTCACAAACCAGAAGAAACTTTGAGTCATTTTGTATATATTAAGCCTATTTTTGCTGATGTGGCAAAACATACCTTTAAAGATAATAGCTATAGGGGTGGCTTAGATTCTGGAGCTTCTCACTGGAAAGAAGTGTTGTCATTTCAAATTTTGTTTTAGTGCCCCAGAGCTTTGGACTTTTGAAAGGCTGGAGAGACTGGAGCAACCTGGGAGATGAGGTGGCAGGAAAATAGCTCTCTTCAAATGAATGCTGCTTAGGGCCACAGAAACCTCATCAGTTTTGTGAAGCATTCAGGCTTGACATTATCTGATAAATCACTGCTCCTTAAGAAATCCTTAACCAAGTTAGACTGTTCAAGTGTGTCCACCAGAGAAGAGTTTATGCTGGAGACCTGTAGGGAAGGCTGTGAGAGAAGGCTGTGCATCCTGGACCCCGGTTTAGGAAACGGTGGTTGATCTGCCTATGCTGTCTCTGCTGCTGCTGATGTCCCCAGGAGTTTAGGCTGAGAGTTCCTGCTTCTGCATGAACAGTAGGAGCAGCCTGGGGAGGCTGCCAAGAGTGAAATAGATCCAGTTCCTTCACCTCCTTCACTGGGGGAATCTTGGTGCCCAACCCAAGGCCCTTTGTGTGTATGCAGTTGGAGGGATCAGCAAGCATGGTGGGTAAACCGGACACTATACCCTCTACATTAAAGTCGTGCTCTCATGACATTAGCATGATGCAATGCTGGAAGCTACCCCATAGCTGAGCATCAAGCTACTTGATTCTCCTGGAAATCTGTCAAATCTCCCTTCATAGACACTGAGCATCCCCATGCCACAAGTGTTTTCTGACTCCATAATCCTCTTTGTACAGGAAAGGGGGAGAAATGGAGAGGGACCACACGGGCATTGTGACCCACATGCCAGAAATGCTTCATGAATGTAACAGATAGAGGTGTAATAGGCCATTCTTTGCATAGCTTTTCTTCTCCCCACTCTCTCCCCACCCATCTCTGCCAAAATTCTCTTTGAATATGTTCAGACTACATTTGCCCTCTGGTTTTGATTAAACATGCGTATTTCTCATATGGTCTCATTTTTTAATGTGTTTGTCTTTCAAGATTGAACAGCTGCTGCCTTACATTCAAACAACTGATTGGATTTCAGGGGCACAGAAATAATTCTTGTAGATAGCAAGTTAGTTAATTGCTTTGGACTCCTTAGGGATGAATGGTGTTCAGCTGTGGCATTGCAAGGTATTACTACTTTATAATAAAGAATGAATCATAGCCTTCTCCAAGTATTGCATCTGGAATATTATCCATAGTCTACCTTTTCATAAGAGAGTGTCCCCAGTACAGGAGCATCTGTATACTGAATGTGAGATGTCTTTCTCTACAACATGGTGATAAAATTCCTGATGCTGATGCACTTGGGATTTCTTAAAAGTATTTTTGTTCTTTGCTTTCAAACAATACATTTTTGCAGTACTAATGAACAGAGGAAGGTAGGTTATTAAAAATCATAGCATATAAAAGATCTTCGTGCATCTAATGGTAGCTGAACCCAAAAGATCACGTAAGTTTGTGTAGCTGCTGGCTTCCTAAGTTTGGCAAATCAAAGCCCCCAAATTTTAAAATATATTTTCAAATATGCTTTCAAAATCCAACGAAAGAAGCTGAACAGTCCCTTCAAATGTAAAATGAGAATCGGATGGGAGAGCTATCCTAGAAATTTTCTATTTAATCCCAAATGTGAAGTGATAAAAGTACATACTGTGTTGGGCTGAAACTTGTTACACTTGCTATGCTAAAAATCGAACCAGTGATATACCCAATTTTCTAAGCTGTCCTTTTATTAAACATGCATAAATAACATTGCTTCTGAAAATATTTTGTTAGAAATATCCAAGAATGGCAAACTTAACTTTCAGTCTTTTTACTTTCCTGTCCATCATTTAATCTGAACATCATCTGATGAGGATTTTTTTCCTGCAGATATATTATGCCATGCGTTATTTTAACATGGCTGTATGGCTCCTGCAGGAAAGGTCATTTCTATTTCTTTAATTTTTTTCTAAGGTCAATTCCTGTAAAAGGACAAAGCTTATAAGCCAATGACATTGACTTCAATAGAAAAAGGACGGTTTTTTAAAATAGTGCAGGAATCATCAGAATCAAGGAAATAATTCTCAGTAATTTTTTCCCAGTGGCATGCTAGATTATAGATAACTTTATTTTTCCTTTTAACTCAATTCTAATTTAGCAGATGGTTCTTAAATGTGTAGTGTTTGCTCAAATGCAAGAGATGTTTATCTGGTAGAATTTCCACTTGTCCATTTACCAGTGGCCAGGCTTGCTTTATTCTTTTAAAATGGGAAGTGAGTTGTTAAGCTTTTTTTCATTGATAATAAACCACTAGAAAAGGATGAGTGAAACGCATATTTGCCATGATTGGTATGATTTTAAGAAATATTCATAAGTCAGGTCTGTGTGACCTCAGTGCAAACAAGAGGAAGCAGATTCTCAGGAGCAAGAGCTACCAAGTCTTCTGGCAACCAGAAAAGGAGCAAACTGAGCACGACATGAGCCTTGTATTTTTTCCCTAACACAAAGCTCGTGTGCCTGTTCTCTGGAGGAGGGACCTACAGATGCCAGAAATTGTTCCCTCACTGGTCATACAGAATTTTAGCCAGCAGACCAGCTATTATGATGTAATTTATATAGTGTGTAGTATTATCTATAAGAAATAGGCCTGAGATCCCCAATTTATCTGAAACTGATAGCTAAGAAGGACTCATAGATTGTTCATTATGTGGGACGTATTTTAAAAAAATAAATAAATGACTACAGTTTGATCTGTAAGTACGAATGTAATGTAAGTAATGTAATGTAATGTAAGTACGAATGGAAAATATGAATATTGATGAATTCCATAACCTAAAAGTGAAAGATCTAATGAAGAATGAAGGGCTAGAAGTTAAAACCAAATGCAGTTTCTAATAGAAGAGTTGATTAACCATTGGAACAAACTCTTAAGGGCGGGAACAGATTCTTCACTTCTTAAACACTGCAGATCATAACTGGATAACTCTCTGGAAATTCTGCTTTAGTATAGTAAGGACTCAATGCAGAAATTTTATGGCTTATTTTATGTAGGAGATCAGACCAAATGACCTAATAGTCTAATAGACATTTCAACCTTACGATCTACAAGTCTATGTCAATCGTGGCTTGCAATGAAAAGTCCAGTTTGTCATCTCCGTCCTTCAGCTTTTAGCTAACTCCATATTTAGGAAGCATTTCCTTGTGCTCTTTTTAAGATTTTACCAGAAGAGGATGACTATGGATTTGACATGGAAGAAAAGAACAAAGCAATCGTGGTGAAGTCCGTTCGACGAGGGTCTTCTGCAGAGGTACAATCTGACATTCATAAATATTTTGGTTTTGGTACCTAAGAATATTTCAGTGCTTTGAAAAGGTACAAAGCCATCCTTTTAAGTTCTGTTTCATTTTAAAGGCAGCTAACAGAAAACGGGGTATCTTCTGCAATTCCTGTGGTAATAAACTGTTTCTGTAAATTGCTAAGTGCTTTGGCATCTTTGGGTGACTTGCTGAATATTTTTGATAAGTGATAGGACAGCAGCAGTATCTCTGCGTGATGATGGCGTACCTCAGGTTCATTAGCAACTTAAATTTGAGGAGGGAGGGAAAGTAACATGGTTTTGCAATAGCAAAGATGTTCAATGAGAAACAGGTTTATTTGAGTGAAAGCTGTATTTTCAGATTTCTATTTTTTCCTTAAAAAGCATGCACTCATCTCTCTCTCTGGTATTTTTCAAGAGATCTACAGAATATATTTGCTTTGTTTCTTTGAGGCACATAGGTGGCCCAAATGTCATAGGAACTGAGTATTTCATAATCATTTGTTTATCCATACAAAACCCTTGAGTGAATAACACCATGTGATCCTCCAGGTTCCGAAATAAGGCACAGACAGACTGAAAGTCTATTTTCTAAAAAGTATTTAGGTGCCTTTTAGCACCTTTTAGAGAGGACTAAATGACTTGCCCAGGGCTTCACAGTAAATTGTGGCAGCACACAGACAGTACTTCTAATTAAAAGTCCACTATAGAATTTTTTAATGTCCACATTCATTTGTTGGTCACTGCTGTAGGCTACAGATAACTCCTGGATGACTCGCCCAATGGAAACAGCTGAAGAGGACGGACTGATTTTAGCAAGTTGAGAATGTCAAATGGGAAGGAATTTTGAACTAAGTTTAATATTAGAATTAAATTATTTCAGTATTCATGATTCTCGTTTGTTTTATGGTCATCAAAGAAACCGATCCTATGCTCTACCTCATGCTCAAAATCAACATAGATTGGCCAAAAATTTTATTAATCTAAACCTCTGCTGTAAACCATTGCCTGACAAATAATCCTTCTGCCCTTTCTTTGGCCGGATGCCTGTGAAATATCCTGCAAATCTGTTGTGTTTTAAGACAACAGAAGCACACAATTTTCTGAGGAATCTTTTTCTTGATCTTCCAAGACAAACTATCTGTGACCATGAGCCCATCTTTTCAACTTAATCTTAAAATATTGCTCCAAAAAAGAACTAAATCTGCATCTCTCTGAACCAGAGGGCTGTCAGCCCATTCTGGAAAGACCTGAGGTCCAACAGTAATGCATTTCATTACATTCTTGGGCTTTTTTAATGGCTTTGTGATACCAGAAAGATATCCAGCATGTAGTTCTGTGTGGCTCAGCAGCTGTAGGCTGTTTAGAGACCCTATGCCTGCTGTCACAGTCTTTAGGGACAAAAATTAAGACATGGAGCTTTGCTTCACAGTGCCCATCACAGTGCATTGCATTCATTAGGACTGTCAGACATTAGGCCAGAATAAGATTCCAGGTACACCAGTTAAGTTGGAACAAATCTATTACTTGCATGGATTTATTCAAGATTAACGTATCAGGATTGTGATCTTTTTTTCCTAGTATACCTGGAAAAAAATTGTCATGTGCAGGCTGTGGCAGCACACAGTATTGAACTTCATGCATGTGCAACAAGGGTCTTTGGGGTTTTTATTCAAAATCAGAGTTGCCAAGCATTGTTCTTTCTATTATTAGTGTCTTTTTTCTCCTCAAGATTTTTTAGAAACTGATTTGTGAGCTGTTAGATTTGCCTATGCCAGAAGCAGTTCCCAAACCGTTCAAAAGTTGTTAAAAAAAGAATTGCTGGAACATCAAATTCCTTGCTGATGGGGTACTTGCACTGCAGTTTGGGATCTCTTCACCTGACGTGTGTGTTCAGCTTCTCAGTTTTGGCCCTTAGAATAGCACCCGAGTGGGCACTACTCTCTCCTGCTCCTGAATGATGAGCAGCTCTCGGCCCGGGACTCTCATCTCTGGGAATTGTCCCCCCATGCTCCTGGCAGCAGCTGCCTGTGACCATTAGCACTTGCTCAGCTCACCTTGATGGAGGGTCGCAAAAAATCACATAGCAGTGGTTGGTTGATGTGGAATGTGGCACATCCCATGCCTGTTCCAAGTTCATGTGTCTTCAGAAAGGCCTTCAGAAAGTCAATGTCTCCTCAGTTTGTACCTTATCTTCCTTTCTAACCCAGCTCACTTGCAGGTTAATTGTAGCCATGCTTATTCCCGCAAGTTTTAATCCTGGAACTGGTTTATGACTGACACTCTATCAGAAGGAAGCAACAGTGAAAAAAATTATCCTTTTGGGAGGTGTGGTTGCTGTCTTACTCTGAACAGCCAACTGACAAGCAGAGGTCTGGTTTTGAACAGAGCGTGTTCAACAAGCAGCCAGTTGGCCAACGGCCATGCAGATGAACAGCAAATAGCGAGCTGCTGGCATTTCAGAAAAAACAGTGGCCCGGATCCAGACAACTGCAGTGAGTTGTCATAAGGAGCATCCGTGAGTTGTCATAAGAAGCTCTGTGACACTGTAGGTCCTTACTTTTAAAGATACATGCTGTCTAATCTTCCTTAGCCTGGGTAGTTATATCCCAGTAGAGCAGCAGATTTTTATTTGAAAGTTGCTAGTTTGTAGGGTTTAATATGTGACTTTGTCCCTCATACATTCATGGATTTGCTATGATTATGTGTGCAGATAGGTGTCCCGTATGCACAAGCAATAAGTTAGGAATCTAAAGAGGTCATCCACAGGTAAACTGATTGCAGGTACGCAAAGAGTTTAGCTAATTGCACATACATTAAGTGCATGAGCTACTTTGAGAAAATCAGGCCTAAAACATAATGATTTTAGAAATGTATATAATAATTACTACTTTGTAATAAACTCATCAGTATAAGTAAATGCAAATAGCAGAAACATATCCATTGAATTATAAACCAAAGTTTGTCAAATTCTGTCTTAAGTTAAAATCTCTATTGCTATTTTATCCCTATTATCCATTTTAGAGATTATTTACAAAAAAAGAAAGATGAAAAATGTTCTTTCCAGGTACACAAGAGGATGTTGTCAACTGTAGAGAGCTTGAGAATTAAATCAAGGAGAGCACTTTGTAGTTTTTAATAGCTTTGATTTGAGAAAAAAAGTATAGGTTTTTGTAGGTAAACTGCCTTTCAGACCACAAACCGTATTTAAGAAAAGCCAAGCCATGCATAGACATAGTCAGCAGGGTTTTCCAGTCCTACATCTCCAGATTCATTTCTGCAAGAGGTCAGATTTCATATGTGGGAGTAGTACTGTTTAGACCTCCTTTTTCCAAGTCAAGAAATCTGTCAATGCATTCCAGGCAGAATAGGAAAAGGGTTTGTCACATTTAGAAGAAAGCCCAGCTGCTGGATCCGAAAGTGATTCTAACCTGGGAGGGGTTAATAATATTTTTTTTTTCTTTGTAGTCCATTAAAGGGAATTTTATATTTCTGTGATACCCTAACACCTAATCTAAGGGCTGCTATGTCACATTTTAGCTGGTATAGATCATCAAGAGGTATATTTAGGGTTATTGTACAGTGGGCAGAGTGGACAGAGATCTTGATTCTGTCATCAGATCTGTCTCTGATGTGACCATGACCTAATAACTAAAGTTAGGTGCAAAAGCTAGAAATTAAAATGAAAATGGTGTGACTTTTTAGGCTGATGAAGAGCCAGTACTTCACTTAAAGCAGAGACGGGTTTTTATCACCACTTAAAAACAGGTTACTTATGTGACTAGGTATAGATTGGTTTTGCATGCCTAGTGGTTGAAAACGATGTTCTTGGCTCCCTGTGCCTGAGCTGTAAGTTGTGGGAAGTCACACTTCTGAATCTCACTGGATATTGCAGCCAGTCTATTACAGTCCCCTATTTTTTAGTCCCCTTTTTTTAATATAGTCACCTTTTTTAGTAGTCCCCTATTAAAAAAATTGTAGCAGAATAGTACAAAGATATATGTATATATATGTATATAAGTAATGTGGCATATTTGTACAGATACTGGTGAAATCTCTTTGTTTTCTGTAAATGCAAACAACTTCAAGGGTGACAAATGATTTGATGAACCTACACTGTACATACAGTATTCCATATGACAATAATCCTAGGAACATCCCTAAGTAGAGAACAGTTGAACCTTGGAGCCTGAACTTTCAGAGATGCTGCCAATGATCCAAAGTTTTCTGTGGTATTTGTTTCATTTGCAGATGGCTGGCCTGCAGACGGGAAGAAAAATCTATTCCATTAATGAGGACTTAATATTCCTACGCCCATTTTCAGAAGTGGAAACCATCTTAAACCAGTCCTTCTGCTCACGAAGGCCGCTCAGGCTTCTGGTAGCCACCAAATCAAAAGAGTAAGTGCCAAGATGGGCAGGCAGCAAAGATTATCTAGAAATGTTGATTACTAAATATTTCTTCTACAATTTGTAGCAAAAACTCTGTAAACACTTTGCTACGCAGAAGCTGTTCAATAGGAAAACAAATGACAAATGAAAGAGATACAAGAGTCATGGGTTGTTTTCAGTGATGAACCTTGTGCTTCCAGGACAAGTTAGGATGTATTCTCTTCATACTGCAGTTAACTTTTGGCTTCCTTGTGCACAAACAGAACTGAATCACAAGGATTGTCATTCTGTCTCAGGTGTGAAGCCTCTCAGACTAATATATGTCCAAGGGAAAGCAATTTCCACCCCATTAAAGCTTGGCTTATTTTTGGATGACTCTAAAGATATCAGCCCTTACAGTTTTTCGGTCCATTATTGTATCTTATAATGAGGCTTGGCCCTGTTAATGTCTTGTGCATTATTAGATTCTGTAATCCCAGAATTTGCCATAGAATTGAACGTCTCAGTGAGCACTTAATGCTAAATTCTAGTCCAGGATGTCTTGTGCAGTCTGGTTTTTTTGATGGAAAAGACCCTCAGCTGGTGTAAGTCAGCAGAGCTGCACTGAAGTTTGCCTAGAAATCAAAGGGAATATAAATACTGTAGAAAGTTTCTGTCCTGTGTTATTCACTTAAAGATGAAAGAAATTGGGAAATGCCGAATTTTAATTAACGAACAGAATCACCTGCCTTGGAGAATGAAGATGGAGTGGATGATTTCTTCAGGTCTATGTATTTGTTATTTATTGGTAAACTATGTGGGTGCTTTCTTTAATCCAAAACATGTTTGTGAATGCCGGGGAAAGATGCTGTTAGAACTGCCCAGAGCTCTGGCAGCCTAACTTAAAATGCTGCTTTCTCTTCTCCTTGATTTACCTGCAGGATTATTAAAATCCCAGATTGTCCTGAAGCACTTTGCTTTCAGATACGGGGAGCAGCACCACCATATGTTCATGCAGTAGGAAGAGGTAAGTAGAAAGCCTGTGGTGTAGTTAAGCTTGGAGTACAGCTAAATATATATACCTGTGTATATAAAGTGTCTGTGTGTATGTGTATATATCTCTCAATCAAGAAAGATCCAGGTTGCATTGTCAAACTTGTTCTAAACAAGTTCTGACAACTTATTTTAATAACCATAATGACTAGGAACCCCTGTCATAGAGAAGGCTTGCACTCATATATAAAACCATAGAATAACGAGATAGTTCATGCCTCAAAGTGCTTATAAGCTAAATACAGTCTAAGAAAATGGTATCATTAGTATGAGCTGAGTGTTGGGTTACTAATCCCGTCAACACAAATCAAGGAATAACTTACTTATACAGTAGAAGAAACTTGGGGATACTGCAATTCGCAATACTCCGGAAAGACTCTTGAGAAAGCGTTGTCACCTGAGGTCTTGTAAGCTAGAAATGTGCTTGCATAGTGATCCTAACCTTGTTTCTTCCAAGGCTACTAAGATACAGCTTTACAGCCACAGGGAATAAAAATTAAAAACTGAGGTGGCTGAGGCAAAGTTGAAGTGCAATGCTGTCTATTGCTTCCTCGGTGTTTTTGCCTGTGGTCAGCCACAGTTTGCATCACCGCAGTTGTGAATGTGCTGTGGGATCAGCAGGTTGGTAGACAGCTCGTGTTTCTCAATGGACATCACAAAGTATGATATAAGACTTGAAGACTACTTCTCCCTTTACATTGGCTTATACTGCTATAAATTACCCATATAAGACAGAGGCAAACTGCTTTCCTTGGTCTTTTTAAAAAGAGAAAATGCAGTTTGACAGAGATATTTACTGCTTCTGTCACTGAAATGTGAACTGAGCTGCAAATAAAGCACAGCTCTAACCTTTATTTTCAACAGATGCAGAAAATATGACCTTTCAGACATGTACCACTTCCTTCCTTCAGAACAAATACATATATCCAAATATGTGCAGTTATTATACAGACAACAAGCAGCACCCAAATGCAACAGACAGTGTTCTCGGGGAGACACATTTATTACGCTCTTTCATAACAGCACTGTACCCACTTTTTAACAGTCTGACTGCAAACTGGAAGGGCCAGCTGGAAAGATTCTCCTTTTTCAGGCTTTTGCTAGCAAAAGACAAATTGCATTTGGAATAAAACGGGATGACTTTTAAATGATGGTGCCTTAAAAAAGTTAATCACCTTCACCGTAGATCTCTAGGAGCTGGATTTGGGTCTGAGTCTTGTTCACGTGAATCTGGAATACATCTACTGAGGTTGGTTATTGCACTCTGGACTTACTCTAGTTTTAAGTGCATCATAGTCTTTTTCTTAGACCATGGCAAATTGCATAACATGCAAGTGTTCTGTATCTTTCAAGTGCGACAAGCTGAAACAGATATAACTGTTTACATTTAAGCAAGGCCTCAGCTCATGTGATCATAAGGCTAGAAGAGCCATAAAAGAATCCCAAATGATTTCCCACAGGAATTTCAATTTCTAGCATGAATGCATTTAGGTCTAGGAGGTCTCTGTTTTTCCCAGCACTACTGAAAATATGAAGGATAGATGCGTGATATTTTCCTTACACAACAAAGCTCTCGGAATACTTCGTAGCAAAAGCATGACAGCATTCAACTAGCTTTTCCTTTGTATTCTTCTTAACCAGAAACCCCTTGCAAACTTTCCAGTTTTCTCTTCCACAGTCAGATGGCTTTGCTGTCTAACTCCTCTCCTGTTGATTTTTCAGGTTCCGAGGCTGCAGCTGTAGGCCTTCATCCAGGGCAGTGTATTTTGAAAGTCAATGGGAATAATGCAACACATGGAAATTATACGGAAGTTCTGGAGCACTTTACAGCCTACAGGACCAGACAACAGGAAGCACTGGTATGAATACAAAACCTCAAAGGAAGTACATTCATTCCTGCCCTTCTTCTGTCCCCTCCTTCTTCTGTGCTTTTATGCTCACTAAATATTGAGAAAAACAACTTATACGTATCTCTTTTGACTTATTTACTCCCATGCCAAGGTCCTAGTCTAACTGAGGGAGCTGATTAGAGTTGCCTATAGTTGCAAAACATCTACAAGTAATATGTATGCTAATTCATGTACTGCATACAGTACTAAATATTATAATTGCTAAGACTAGAAGTTCACCCAGATGTTGACCTAGATTTTATATTCTCTGAAGTTCAGAGGAAAGCTGGGGGAATGTTGATATTTCAGCCAACTGAGAAGATATAAAATTGATAGCTAGATTCACCTTTGTAGTCCAAACATAAAGAGATCGGGCATTTTTACTGAGGTCATAGCTGAAGCCTGTATCTCTTGAAAGGGATTGTACCAGTGGGTGTACAGAACACATGAAGATGCTGAGGAGGACAGAGTTCAGCAAGCAGCATCCACTGCATATCTGAACGGCAGTCATTCTGGCTCCAGCAAAGACGACTCTTCACTGGAAGGAGGTGCAGAATTGGATCCCCTTCAAAACAGCCAACAGGAATCAGGTAAAGATTCTCATGGGGGAAGGAAACCTAGGGAAGATTCTGGGACTTCAGGAAGGAAAATTGCAGTAGAAATATAAAGTGTAATTATTATTGTAGAATATCTCTTGTCTTAGTAAAGCTTTATACTAGGATGAGGTCTGCCAGAGGAAGTACTCCTATGCTGTAGTTTATTCGGGAGAATTAAAAAATGAGATACACACAGAAGTCATACCCCTGTGACTCTCTGATCTTTACAAGAGAGCCAGTTTCTGGAATGGAAAGGCTCAGCATTTTTAGAATCATTTGGTAGCCCCTGCAAACCAGGAATTTATGGGCAGTAGCAGCTGGAGAGGGAAGGTCTGCAAGTAACTCCACCTAGAATAATTTACATTTTCTGTGAATTAAGATTAAAGATTAAGATTTCAGCAAGTTTTCAGAGCATGTTACCACTGTGTCAGCAGAAGGTGTAGATGTATTTCCTCCAACTTAGAAAAGTGTAACTCATAAAAACCACTGCTTTCCTTCATGTTGAGAGCTTATTCAGAAAAGTAGATGTTAGGGGGGAGGATGCTGAATCCGGATTAAATCCAAAGGACTGAGCCTAGAGTCTCTGAATGCCATTGGCAACTTCTCCAGGAAGACATGCACGTCTTTGTCGATCCCATCTAAGGTCTGGTGAGCCTGGGAATCTAATGGTCACACAATGCAGCTCCACAGTGGAGCAGCTGGAGCAGTGCCCTGGTAGAGGCATGGGAGCAATTCTTTGGCAAATCTCAACCTGACTATAACCGAAATCTGTTCTCTGGTGACAATAGCATTGCTGTGTGCAAAAAATGTTATCTCCTCCCCCCACCCCTGCCCTGCCGTCTCAGTCTTAGAGCTGTGCAGAACGTGCATCTGGAGCATTTCCCAAAATTGGACAGAAAAGTGGCAGTCTTCCAGAGGGTCATTACAAACAAGACTCTGAGATTAACATCCTTCACTTCCCTTTGAAAGCTTCTGCTGGGGCCTGTGTGTCTGAATGCTGAACAGAACTAAAAGTAATGTCCTGTGCACGGATGTGTGCATGCACACATGGAAGAACATCAGAATGTGGATTGGAGCACGTGGGCTGTCTAAACCTCTGTCACTGGCTCCAGTGGTGGCCAAGAGCAAATGTCTTCCTCAGAATATCCTCCCAGCCTCTAGCAGTATGTTGTTCAGAGACTCCTTGAGCCAAAGGTTGTGTCTTTGTGCCTTTGCATTTAATACTTCTCAACAGGGTTCTCTTCCCTGTGCGTGCCTGTATTCATGCGTGCTGCCAAACACCTCTAATGACTTATTTTGGTTCCAGCCCAGACACCACAGACCAACAGCTCTCCACTGATCATCGGTGAAGAAACACCTCTCATTAGCCTGACTGTGGATAACACCCACCTGGAGCATGGGGTGGTGTACGAGTATGTCAGCAGCGCAGGAATCAAATCTTTTGTCCTGGAGAAAATTGTGGAACCAAAAGGTTGCTTCAATCTCACTGCAAAGGTACCGGAAAACGTACATGGCCAGCATCATTCCTAAACAGAACAGGGAAGCCAAAAATAGAGGCATTTCTCTGGTGGCTTGGCTTGGCTCTTCAGATGAGGTAGCACATGGTCTTCTCAACCCTGCCCGGAGTTTTCTTCATTGGAATGCACCACGTTATAACAGCTCGTTTGGTACGAGCGAGTCAGCAAATGCTTCCAGGATTCTAGCTGTTGAGGTAGAGGGAGGGGAGCCCTCAGCTGTGGAATTCTCACTTTTATCTGTCTGGTAACCTGCTCTTTGCTGATACTCAAGATTAATCTTTTCAGGCAAGAATTTGCTTTACCTTGGAAGAAAATCAAGCAGCTTTTTACCGTCTGATAGGCTGGATGGGTCACAAAGGAAGGAAGGAGAACTGCTGCTATTGGAAAGCAGCAGTGCACTTAGTATTTTGGTCATCTGTTAAAATAATGAGCTAGCAGTAAATGTTTCTGTCACATCCCAGTAACATTATTACTATGTCCCATGGAAGCATGCCAGAGCAGGTAACTTTGATAGTGCACAGGGGATATTTTGGTCCATTTCAGTTATTCTAAAAATTTTTGAGGAATGTTTTATGACTCTGGGGATTAGACACGACAGTGATTTTCAGGCAGTAAGGCAACTTGTTCTGAAGGCAGCTTTATGCAACCATGACAACATGGGGGCTTTGCCACTTATTCAGTGGAAGAAAACTGTATTTTCCCTCACTGTCAAGTCTCATATCATTGACATCCTCTCTTTCTGTTTAGATTTTAGAGGCCTTTGCTGCAGAGGACAATCACTTCGTAAGGAATTGCAAAAGACTTATATCCCTAAGCAGTGCTGTGGCCACCATGCCCCAGTATGAATTCCGGCAAATCTGTGACACTAAGCTGGAAAGCATTAGCAGAAGGTTCACAAACTACCAAGAGGTACAACACTACTAGTTATCGGTGAAGTCTCAGGACAACTGGGTCTTAGTATTCTTTATTAATGAATCTGAGCTGCGTTAGAGGTAGGTGTCCTAGAGGCATGAAAACAGCTCTGCAAGTTATTGAAATTGCAAGTTTTGAGGAAAAAGGACCTTACCTGTAAATCACTCCTTTCAGCTTGTCAGAGCTGTGGCTTCTAACATATTACTGCAGGTTCATTTCCACCGTATCAGTGAGTAAATATGACAACAGAATGATCAGTGTCTGATTTAACATGAACATAAGTGCAGTGTATCGTAGTGCAAACAAACTGTGTGCTTTTGTGCGCAATTACCTGAGCTGTTTGAAAAGAGAGTCCTAGAAGGTAGAGCTAATTGCTTTCATCTGTTGTTTTATGAGCTTTTTTTTTTTTAATGTGTTATTCCAGCTGCAGCAGAAATCATATGGTTCTGGAATAGGAGGCAGGAAAAGGATTGTCTGTATTGCATCATAATTTCTTGCAAGTGAAGTAGCACATGCTTGCTTTATTTCTCCCAGTTTGCAGATGAATTGAAAACAAAGGTGAGCCCAGCCTTCAAGCAAGCCATCATGGAACCACATTCCCTCAACAGCATGGATTTCTGCCCCACCAACTGCCATGTTAACCTCATGGAGGTATCGTACCCCAAAAACACTACCTCAGCAGGGAGGTCGTTCAGCATTCGCATTGGACGGAAACCCTCTATTATTGGCCTCGATCCAGAACAAGGTGATAAAATCAACTTCCAAATCATACTGATTTTATCTGCATAAAAAGTTGTGTCTTTCCACTGCTCAGCAAGGTCAAAAGAAGTTCCAAAGAAACATAGTCTTGCCAGTACCCTTTTTTCTTCCTTAAAATTTTATAGTAAAATGACAGCCTCCTTGCGTTGTAAAATAGTAATGCCTTTATGCACAGAGGGCCTTCAGGTCAGATGTTTTTACTGGCTAAAGCAGTGTGGTCATCTCATGATAATTTAAGTATCCTGGAGTATTGTTTGCAATTAGTAGAGGTGACTTACTGACTAAAAGAAAAGTGAATGGGGCCTAATAGTAGTGCTAGTGCTGTGAAGAGAGGCTACGTTCAGGGGGAAAGCATGAGTCAATCAGATTGTAGTGCTGTTTTCTTTGGTCATTACTAAAGAAATTCCATCCATGGGAGCTGAAAGTCTCTACTCTGTCAAGGGGATCTATTTTCTGACAAATAGCTGCTACATAGCATTTATGCTACAACCCGATTATTTGAGTTCCAACATTTCTTCATCATGATCTCACCTAATGTGCTTCTGATTCATTGTCTTGTGAAGGTCAGAGTGCAGGAATGTTTGGAAGAGACACAGGGAAGTGTAGACGAACCAATCTTCTGAAGAATGGCATTGACTATTCAAAATGAGGTCGATAAAGAAGCCCTGCTCACTTGAAGATATTAAAATTTCATAGTATTTTTAGTGTAAGCTACGGTGGTTAGCAAAGTACCATACCAAAACTGTCAGCAGTTTTAAATGAAAAGGAATTTTATTTATCTTCTGTGAGGTCCTAATCCTATATCTTTATATATATGTGTGTGTAAATGTTTGTAAAGCTGGAATAATAACACAGACCAATTTCTGAGAACCTGACTTCATTAACATTTCAACAAATGCTTTTAGATACTATCCATGTTGCCTATATGAGTACATGTGTGGACTTCCCTAATTTAACCTGTTTCTGGACTGCAGTAAATTCAAAACATCTTGTTGGCATGCCAGGAAAAGAAGAACTTTTTTTATTTATTTATTTTAAAGAATGTTTTTACCTTAGAATGTAATTATGTAAAATAATTCTGTGACATTTTGTTTTTCCTGTTAAAATTCCACCTGTCCTAAACTATCATTATTGGGATGGAGTGGGGAACGTCATGGGAGCCATACTAACTAGACCCTTCAATGTTTAGTAGGTACCGTAAATCCAGTCTCATATACTCAACATTGCATCACCACTATGGCTGCACCGTCCTGGAGATGTCTGACCCCAGAAGATGGCGATCTTGACGGTAGCTTTGGCCAGCAGAATGGAGGAACAATTCAAGAAGAAAGGGGACTCAGTTTTCTGCTGAAACAGGAAGATCGGGAGATACAGGACTCATACTTGCACCTTTTTAACAAACTTGACATTGCTGTGAAGGAAATGAAGCAATATGTCGTTCAGATAAATAAGTGAGTAAAGGATCCTGTATGCAGTGCCAAGAGCAGTTCTGATAAAACGGAGGCATTAACCTCAGAAAACGGGTTGTGCCTATCGGCCCCAGCTGTCGTACTCTTACGCTCACCTATTCACACGTGCACTTGCATTACAGCTCCTTGCTGGTTGTGTCAAACCTACTCCTGTGCAGATCTACCAGTATATATATTATTGTCCTTTGCTCCTGAAAGTCTACCTGAATTCAACAGCCACTGTTTCACTTACTATATGTTCCAATTTAAGAATCTATTTGGTGCCACCTGCAGTTTTGGAATTCCATACGGAGTCCCTACCTTTGAGATTTTGTCTGTCATAAGGCAGACTAAGCAAAACTTGTGATTTCAGGCAGCTTCCTCTGCGGCACCTATGTTTTCCTTTCCTCTTTTTCTCTTTTTCTTTTTCTCATCATGGGTCTCCTAGCAGCAGTAAGGAAGGATTTGAGTAGTGCGTCTGTGTATTGTGCATAACTGGCAGGAGTTTGGTAGCAGGGGCTGCAGGGGTGATCTGTGTGGGAGAAGGCCATAAGCTGCCCTAAGCTGCTCACAGCCACTTCCAGGAATCCCAGTAACAAAAAAGAACAGCCCATCGTACACCAAAACTTCAGCTGGCCGTTAAAGCATGTGGAGCCTTGGCTTAAACATGTTTAAGAAAGGGCAGCAGCTGCTGGGTAGAGCCGGCGAGCTGAGGCGCTGCCACAGAGGAGAAACCCAGCACCTTGGATGGAGAAAGTGGGGACTTTGGTGAATTAAGAACAGAGCCCTTTCAGGCCACCATGGTTACGGTGATTAAGCTGTACCTCATGAAGTTCGGGTACGTATGGAAACAGGGCCTTTTGTGAACTGAGATTCCTGGACTTCAATGAACCCCTTTCAGAGCTCGCAGTTTTACATATCTGTAGTCTATGTAAAATGCTGGCAAGGTTGCTTTTGGTTTCACATAGGTGAATTCCATCCTGAGTCATTATACCTCATTTGTGAGACTTCCCACCAGTCCCTGAGAGCTGTATGTGTTACTTTTGCAGACTTTTGTCCACCATAACAGAACCTACAGAAGGTGGTGCCTGTGAGCCACCATCTACTGACGAGACATCTCCACCTTCCCTGGGAACAGAAGAGAGTGATCCTGACAAAGCTGAGCACGGTGGAATCAAGAAGGTCTGTTTCAAAGTTTCTGAGGAGGATCAGGAAGACTCTGGACACGACACAATGAGTTTCAGAGACTCCTACAGGTCAGTCTAAAGATTGTGCCACTTTTACCTTACTAATATAATGTTTTGAAGCTCTAATCCAGGTATGGATTCAATAAGCAGGAGGACCTTGTGTGGTTTTTTTTTTTACCCAAAACCACACAATTGTCACATGAACTCTTGCTAAAATTATGCTGTAGTACCTGCAGCTCTTTTCCTCATCTTTGTCTGTCTCATTTTCTCTCAATATTATAGTAGTAGATGACAAATTGATAGATGAGGATTCTTTTCTAGAGCAGATTATCCACTATTTACATACACCAGCAGGTACATCTTGCATGACTAAAATGACCAGGTATCAATTTCGATTTTCTGAAGTGTGGTACATGTGCATGAACATGGTGCATTTCTCCATGGTTCACCAGAAGGACTTCACGTGATCTTAATCTGAACAGTGTCCGTGGAGTAACGTCTGTGAAAAGGAAGCAATCGAAGAGAATGAGATTGTAAGTTTTGACGCAAGTGTGCATCTGTTGCTGTGCCATGAGGATCACCGCTCTTTGTGGGGCTCTGTGAGGAGGAACGATGAACAGCCATGTGAGGAGTCCTAGCAGAGCGGAGGTCCAGATTACCCCAAGGTGTATCTTCATTCCTGTTACGAGTGTTTTCTCAGAGCTTTTCTGTTCCCAAGAATTCTTCCGTTCTTGGGATTACGTGAACAGAGTTGCACATCAAATATGAGGCTGCTGCACTTGCTTTATTTAACTACGACGTCTAGAATTCTGTGTCTGGGCTGAGGTTTGCCTGGTTCTGAACTGTGCTGCTCGCATCACAACGAGCAGTATAGTAGTAGAAAGCACCAAAACCCAGCAGACCTGACAGACCTTCAGCGGACACTGCATTTTTGCTGATCTGATGACCCTCAGAACAATTGTAAGATCTTCTGATTGGCTTTTTGACAGTTGTTGAAAGTCTCAGTTGAGGTTTTCCAGATAGACTACATCGAGCATCAGTCATGGTGTCAGCTCTGCATCCCCTAAGTGAACACCGTAGGCTTTTTTCCAAAGAAACATACAGGAATTAAACATCTTACTCCCTTAGTTCCTTGAAAATACCACCCCAGCCCTAACCCTCTTAAAGGTTAGAACTAGTTTTTCTGAGTTTGATTATTTGAAATAGTGTTATTTTCCAGTCAGTCAGTTATTCTGTGTTCACTTAGTAAAGCATTCACTAGCTATAGTTATTTCATTACATTTATTACCATGGAGACACACAGCAAAAAAACTTTTCTCATGACAATGCCAAAATACCAATGCTTCTACAAAATTGAATAAAATGAAATAAATCAGTCTGGTGTGACTTTCCCTTTCGGTATCGTATAACTGGAAAGTACAGAAGCTCAGCAGAGTTTGCAGACTGCTTGGTCTTATAATAGCCGCTATTGCAAAGGAATGTTTCCATTCAGTTCTGCAAACAATTTTCCCAAAATTCTAAGACACTGAGAAACAGAAACGGGCACTGAGTTTTTTATTTTTCATGGGCCTTTGAAACCACAAATGCAAATGTTTATTCAGGTGTCTCAAAATCTTGGTTTTGGGACATGATTGACTGCTACTTCTCCAGGAATATTTGCCACCAAAGGAAATCTCCTACACTCCAAATCTGTCTTTCTTGGGAGGAAACATTTGGAAACTCAGCTTCAGAAGAAATGGAACAACAAGTTGCAGTCATGTCTGACCATTGCAATTTTACATCCTTAATAGGCCATTTTTACATTTATAGCAAGGCCATAGGACTTTGCCTGTGCAAAGGAGGAAAGACCCTTTGCAGTGAGCTGGGAGGATTAGAGTAACCTGAATGCATGGCGCGTCTTTGAAACTTCCACGCTACAAGCCCGATTCTTTACTTGCTGTTGGTTTTGTAGTAGTACAAGTAGCAATGTGTTACATTCATGCAGGACTGCAGAACTGACAGCATCAGAACAGTTTATGTTGGAAGGGGTCTCTGGAGCCCACACGGTCCAGCCTCTCACTCAGAACAGGTCCAACAAGATCGGTTGCTCAGGGTCTTGTCCAGTTGAATACTGAACATCTCCAAGGACAACAAATAGGAAGTCAGTGAAGAAACAGAACCAGCACTCACAATGCTGAGATCTGTGGCATCTATTTATTGTGCTAGATTTACACCTGCACATGTGCTCTGAAGCTTTTTTATTGAAATGTGCTGAATTTCTTTCACTGTTAATAGAAATCCCATTTATGAACACTGTTTAGTTTAAACGGTTTCCATAATTGAGGCTAATCTATTCTGGGTAACAAAGTGCGATCAAAAACAGTCTCTGTAGGTCTGTCACTTGTTCCAAAATTTTACACATAAATGTGAGAAATATTATTCTGTCTTATCTTTATTAGACAGAGGCAGAGAATTAAGCATATATTACAGATAATGGTTATTCAAGAGGGAACAAAATGTATTTTGATGGTTTTTGATCTGAAAAACTACTGAGGAGCTACAAAATTAAGCAAATTACAGATAAAGAAAATATCTTGTTTGCATTAGCCATGCTCCTTTCTCCGGGATCATTTGGAGGCGTATGTCAAATTTCATAAGGGTTTGTGCTGCAGAGTAGCTGCCACAAGTATTAATCTTCTTCAGAAAAAATAGGTTTCTTTGATGATAGCATTAACAAAGGACAGGCAAGAAGGTTAGGGTTCTTTCAATTGCTCTTATATTTTTCTCTCATCTCAGTCTAAAATAAAAACAGAGGAAGAGACAATATGGAGAATTTTGTAGGCTTTGTTTTGGGCTTGTACCATTAAAAACACAGTGTCACTTAATTGGAGGGGGACAGACTGAGATCCATAGCCTTTTTGATTACTTTTACAAAGTAATAATCAGTGTAAAGTGAACTTTAAACAGTGGAGATTCATACTAGAGTTTTCCAGGTGTGCATGAGCCAACATTGGTGTGAAGCCAACTGTAGTGTCTCCTCTGCTTCCTGAGATAGTTTTAGGATCTGCGGTGCCTGATTCTCCGATGGTATAGATTCCTTACATCTCCTCTCCCGTCTCCAATATCAGCTTCAATATATGCTGGAGTTGGATGCTGTAATAGCCTGAGAATTGGTAATGAATGTTGAGTTTAGTGGAGATTCAATCTCATCGATTTTAATTCTTTCTCCCCTCCTTGATGCTCAGAACATCTTTAATGATGTGACCCAGATAAGGTCTGTGGTGGGAAGTCCCGTTTCATTATTTATAGGATCTAGGCAATATATTAAGCATTGAGTGGTCACTGCAAATGGAAAAAGACATCATCTTACCATGCCAGCCCAGAGGCCTTGCTTAATGGTTGTTCTGCATGTAATTAGTTTTTCTTTTGTATATGTGTAACAGAATTAGTTTGGAGGACTGCAGCGTTAATAAGACCAGAGCGATAGAGACTGGGTGTAAGAACAGCTCTTCTTCAATCACCTTCTTTGCTTTTCTTTCTAGTGAATGTAACAGTAACCGGGACTCAGTGTTGTCGTACACCAGTGTACGGAGTAACAGCTCTTACCTGGGCAGCGATGAGATGGGATCAGGTGAGTATTTGCATAGGTACATGCATATTTCTCATACCAGACCCCTTAGCAGAGCTGATAAGTCTTTGCTGATTATAAGCACTTGCATGTTTAAGTTGCAAATGTGCTTTCTTCAAAACTAATCACAAGAAGAGAAGGGTAGAGATTTGTTCTTTTTCTAATGAACCACAGTAAATTTGGAATATGGAAGAGGTATTAGACAGGGATAAGCTGCTTTAGTTATTGGACATTTGCATTATATGAAAAATTGTGAGTATTTTGATCTATGAATTAGAGATAAAGCAGCAATCATTTTTCACCTACTCCAGTATGAAGGTGTGCTTGGGTCATCTGTGGCCTCATCACGGATTATGTTTGTAAGACAGTTAAAAGCTTTTCATCTTTCCTTTATTAGGAGATGAGCTTCCCAATGATATGAGGATTCCTTTAGACAAGCAAGACAAACTTCATGGCTGTCTGGAACATCTTTTCAACCAGGTATGTGAAGCATTACTCTTACACAGAATTGCTTTCTCTTTATCAATGTCAATACAAGAAATTGGAGGTATCAAATTGTTTAATGAAATCATATTTTGAGGGAAGGCAAACTATCAAGATTTTGGGGTACAGTGTAAGCAAGTATATTATAGGACCGTTTGAGGAATCAATTCTGTCAACATTCAAGTTGCCTTGTGAGATTTAAGCAAGCTTGACCTGCCTTATCTCAGGCATTAGACTTAAGGGGCAAAAAGCTTTCATGAAAAAAAGGAAAAGGTGAACAAAATTCTAATACCTCGTGGGATCTAAATGGATCACATTTCGAGATCTTAGGAGAGTCCTCGCACGTGTAGCCAACAGATGTCTTTACAGATGTATAGCACCAGAGAATTGTATTGTATTATCTTTTATCTCATCAGCATGTAGATCATCATTGTGCCAAATGCTGTACTCAATGTGGGAGGCTCTTGAGGCCAGTTCATGGTTACAAAGTCTTAATGCTATTTGTCAGTGAGAAATCATTCCAAAATACAAATAACATAATGGCTTTTGCATTTTCCCACAAGAGTTCTATTCAGATTTTCTTCTGCAAGTCTTAATGACACTGACTGAAAACATTCCAATTGTAGGTCGATGCAATCAATGCACTTCTAAAGGGACCAGTAGTAACTAAGGCCTTTGATGAAACCAAGCACTTTCCAACAGACCACAGTTTGCAAGGTAAAGAAAAAGGTTGTTTGTATTTAATAATGTGATTTGCTAGGACTTAAGGGCTTAACATGAATGCATGTATGCTATATGGCCACACAGAGTTACGTAACTATGCAGTCTACCCAGTCATACGTTAATGGCAGGTACCGTGTCTGACCCTCAAAATTTTGCATCCCTAAAAGGTCATTTTCACATGAATTCCTTCTGAAACATAGACTGCTTTTCTGTTATGTGCCGCTGAATCCTCACAGCTCTTTCCCAAGTCTCCAAATCTGTCCTTTGATGTGAACACAAATAGGTATCTCAAAAGGTACAAGGTGGAGATGGGTCAGGTACAAGGTAAATGAGGCCTCTGATAGCTGCCAAGGGGCTGACCACTGTAGGTCTGAGGCACCAAAAGGTTCTGCCTGAGTTTGCTTAATGACTTATTCTGCTTTTCTTCAGATGGATACTTGCCAGAATAAACTCATCCTCACATGACACTTATTTTGCAAACTGATTCCCATAGAGAGCAAACAAATGATACCATGTTTTCTTTTTCCTCAGGGAGCATGATGAGACTTTGGTCTTAATGGTTTTGGGGCCCAGGATGTGGTCTCTTCTCTCGCTGAAATACACAGGACTTTATTTTTCTGAACATTTGCTGCATTTCCTTTCCCACTTGAAATCTGAAATGTTTCCTACTATTCCTGCTATACTTCAGGTGCTGTAGTCATGCCCCCCTGCTCCAACCTTTGACAAGCTCTATTTTTAAGTTACAGTGGCAAACTCTAGAAGAGAGCTTTTTCTGTTTTGTTTTGTTATTTTTTCTCCCTGACTCCAGAAATAACTCCTATGAAGTTCTATTACATGAACTCATCTCTACAAACACAATTCACATTTATGTAGAATATCTGTTAGTCTTTCCATGCCCTGTTTGAATGAAGAAATAATGGACACCCTGTGTTCACTTCCTTTGTTTTATTTTGCTTACGCAGAGTCTCATTTATTAAAACTAGATTAATTCCACTGAGAGAGTCTTTTAGTTAACTGAAGGTCCCACATCTGTCACATGAAGGAACAGAAAGCCCTGCTTACATTCAGCTGGAATCCTGGACCAAAGTGTGTTTGATAGCTGCCACAGATGCCTTCCAGTGGTGGATGTAAATTTGAATGCTGTCCCGTTCCTGTTCATGAGCCGTTATTTGGCACAGTTTTTCTGTGTTTCTCTGTCTGCTTATGCCTTTTATCACCAACAATGGGGTATTTGGCTTAGCTACGTAGCTAAGTCATGGAGAATAAATCTTCTACTTTGTAATTAAATAATTAGCTTCCATCAGGTGAAAGAAAGCAGACTATTTCATAACTTCTCATCAGTATTGTGGGATGTGACAGCTGCAGCCAAAAAGTTGCTCTGATTCTGCACAGCCAGAGACTCTAGATCTGCCAGATACAGCTGCCCACACGTCACTAAAGGCAGAGAGAACAGAAGGGAATTCTGTACTTCGTGAGCAGTGCAGAGCTCCCCTCACTGTGCATGTCGCCCGTGTATGTAACTTTTAGTCCACAATCCTGAAAACAATGCTAGGAGACTGCTAATCATGAGATTATAGGAATAGCCTTTTTTTTTTTTCCCTTCTGTATTAGATCTATTTAAGAACCTTTTCCATTCACAGTTGTTGCTATTGATCCTGTATCTCTGCTTTCATCTGTATACACATTATAACTCATAAGCCGCTTTCAGCTATGTAGCATTTCCTTAATGGCTAACTCCATTTTTTCTAGAATTTAAACAGAAGGAAGAAACCACAGTTAGGTGCCGGAATAATATTCAAGCCAGCATTCAGGAAGATCCATGGAACCTTCCATTGCGCATCAAGAACCTTGTTGAAATCATACAAAAACACGTGGAAGGTCTGTAAATAAGGAAAAGTTTGTTATCGGCTTCAGGGAGAAGAGATCTTGATCTAATCAAGCCTAGCCGTTCATTTTATCTCAATTTGTAATGAGGCAGTACTGGCTCTAGAGAAGAACTGGTAAAATAGGTTATTTTTTGCAGAGTCCCAGTGCTGTATGGTAAAATCTCACCTGTGCAGCAACACCAAAGAACACTCTCTCCCTTATTTTGTTTCATCAGCCCTTTCAGACAGAACGATATCAGACTGATCTATTTCCCTGTGCTTTTTTTAACCCTTTTAGAAAACAGAGAGATGTTTGGTATATTCCAAAATGAAATGAATGCTAATCAGATACTAAACATCCTAAACCATTGCAGTCTGGTTGAACTGGAACAGGAGCTGAATCTGATGTTCACAGTCTAGCGCAAAGCACTGGGCAGAAATCACCTCCGTAAGGATTCATCTACATGTGCGACTTGTTTCCAGTAATTCATGGTAGTTAACAGAGCATTTAGCCTGTAAAATTGTTTGATTTACACCTTGTTTCTTTTTCAGTCATTAACATGTGTGTGTGAGTAAGGACTACTAGAGTAAATAGAAATGGCCACGTAGGGGCCAGGGATTGTGGGAAAGGAGGAGACTGTTAACAAAATGCAATCAAATCTGCCTTGGTGTCATGTTGACTAGAACATTCCTTTTCTTCACGGTTTCAGATGGGAAGAATCAGCTGCTTTTGGCCTTGTTAAAATGCACAGGTAAGGGGTTTTGATCTGTTGCAAAACATCATCTATACAGAAGTCCCTAACACTTTGTTCTGTGTGCGTGCATGTGCATACATCAGAATGCTATGTTTTTCCTTAGTATTTAGGTTTTTCCCTGGCATTTTATGCTAACATTTCTCATGCTCTGCACCTAGGGCGACTTTTCCATACGCCTGACATCTGTTCTTCAGCTTACATTATTTCAATTCACTGTAGGCTGCTTGTGTTACCTGGCTGCTCACTGGTGTTTCACAAGCACTGTGTTTCTTTTTACTGTCTTCATTTTTTCCTTTGTACAATCCTTCCTCCCAGATGGCCTTTACTGTTTCCTGCTGCGGTGAGAACATGCAGCAAAAATGATACCTATTGCACAACCTTCTGTGAGACCGTGGACTCTGTCATCTTTCCAAACACAGCAAGCGTGTTAGGAGTTAGGATTGTGTATGCTGAAGTTACAGCCAGGAGCAGACTAAGAGTCTAGATGTGCAGGCAGCACCTAAATACACTGTGGACATCTTTAACCTGTTACCATGCACAAAACATCGTGCTCGCGGATCAAGGGACAGGCCTTTCACAGGATGAACGTGCAGTCTTTTTGTAATTGAAACACCTACTTGGTGTACTTTTGTTTGAAAATGAGGTAATAAATAACTGGAATAGATTGTCATTATTTCAGCGTGCCAGGCTTGATTCTCAAGTCTTTGTAGAATGAAGATGAGAGATTTGTATGGCTCTAGGTCACCTCTCGGCTCTTGCCAGGGCTGGTCCATGAGTCTGTCCAAACCAACCTGTGGCATCAGTCCACGAAGGCTGCTTTTACTGATAGCAGATATAACGGCTTCCCAAGTCTCGACCTGTGCCCCATCTCCTGCGGCATTTCCATGAAGATCCTCTGGAAAGAGGGGAGGGGCAGCTGGGCACAGAGCGGCT